TAATTAGATTTTAAATTTACTGATATTAAATATGTATACTTTAATAATATAATTTCACTCCCAGTATCTAATGGAAGATAGAAGGGGGAATTTTAAATTTGGGTTGAAAATAGGACCAAAGGGAGTGTATCAATCCCTATGCTATGGTTACAATTCACCAACATATCACACCATACACCTAAAAAGATCATAAATATATATGGCCTTCGTTTGGTTGGAGATAGTTAATGCGCATGATTACCACAATTTTAACATGTTCTCTGTATTTCATGGTGGTATACGGCACGTTATTCGGACCACTAATTAGTAATTTCATTTCCAGGTCCCATAAAAGAAAAGGATATTACAGTAGCGTCATGTTAGAAGGGTTCTATTTATTAAAATAAATAAATGATACTTCCTTCATCTCAAATTATAAGATACTTTTAAACAAAATCTTACATATCAATAAATATCATTAAATGCATTTAACAACCTTATCTTTTTAAAACAAAAATATAAACTTTCAAAAATATTCATTATTTAATATATTTAAAAGAGAATGGATGAAAATTAATCATGAAGAGAAAAAGAATAATATTAAAATTGGTGCATTTAATGAAAACTTAATCTACTCAACATGTCTTATATTTTAATATGAATAAATTCTGTCAAAAGTGCTCTACAATTTGGGACGGAGGGAGTATAATTTTTCTATCACCTGTTTTTCCACAAGTAGATTCCGAAGTAGTAAATTTTTCAAACAAATGGATGTGTAAATGCAACCCGGCCCCAACTTTAATTAAAACTGCTCGGTGGATAAAAGTAATAGTAGCTAAAAAAAAAAAATGCTCCGTTGGATAAACCAGGCATTGATAGAGATACATGTTACTGCCTGAACAGAGTTTGAGAATGAATGAATGCCTGGTGAACTGAAGAGTCTGAATAGTTTGATTGCATGCCACTTTCTGACTCTACAAGTGCAAAACTGTGACGAACGGAAAATTATAACCCATATAAAAGCATCAGAGGGTTATCTCGCTCGTGGGGTTCGACTTTTGAGCTCTACTACAAACATGCGTTCCGACTTAACAAAAAGAAGAATATATTAGGTTTTCTTGTGGGTTAAAATGCTGACTTCTAAATTTAGGTAGTTGACCGGTAAATCTATTTGCAAACTTTAAATAACTGATATAAAAACCATGCAGAGACCATTCACTTATAAATTTAAAAGGTTTGAATCGTATATATAAAAAGATAATTTGTAAATATAAAAATTTTGATACTTTGACAATTTAAAAAAAAAAATCAATGCTTGCTGGTGATTGGTCAAGTGTCTGATCATCTATGCCAAGAGGCAACGTGGTCCTCTTGCACATGTAGAAATAACAATCAGGGACCATGGGACTTCATTGTATTTCAACAAATTTATGCAATTATTTGTAAATAATTTTACTTGAGACTTATCAGTAATTTTTTTTTTAATCACAGAAACTAATTATATATGCGTGTGTCTGCGACCGTCAGTGATGCGTTGTTTTTGGGGTCAAGAATTGGCTATAATCAAGGGTGGAAATAGTGCGTGCGTGCGGGGAATTAATTCGTGCTGTTATCTCGGCTATCTAGCAACTTCATTTTGAGCATGGAAATGATTGGAATTGTTGAAAGAACGGATCTGGAGATGGGTGAGTGATATTATTATTGTTCTTTCTTAGAGTTACATATAGTTGAGTCTTGAAAAAAAAATTATCGGCAATTAGTTAGGTTCTCACTAAAATTTTAAAAATATCAATTTAAATAATTGTAAATTTAAAAATTTTAATACAAATAAAATATTTAAATTCTAAGTATAACCTTCTATTTGATATTAAATCCATATTTACAATTGTATAAATCCATATTCACAATTTATGTTTAAATTTTTTTTGCTAGGAATGCAACTAATATTCATTTAATATTTGGAGTCTTTAATGATATATATATATATATATATATATTTTTTTTACCTGCAGAGTTATTAATTAATGTTCAGCTCCCAGGAAAGGGAAGCATACCGAACTAATGTATCTGGACCTGGCCAGACAGGGCCCATGTCTGGATCGAGATTGAACGAGCAGCCACGTTTTTATTTTGGATTCAATTTCTTTTCTTTTTTTTCTTTCAAGTAGAAACTGAAAACCCATTGATGAAACCCCAACAGATACAAGGAAATAACAACCGACGACGCTAAGACCTAGTTTCTTTCACAATCCTTCACCCCTGGATTTGGAGATGGATGATGATTAAAGAGAGAGAAATTATTGTTCGTAGAACTCCCTCCATTTTTATTTGTAAAGGAAAAAAATTGTATCACATAATTTAAAAAAAATCAATTAACTATGTTAATTGTATTTAAAAATAAAATAATTAGACTATAATATTCTGCATTAATTATGTTAATCAAACTTTCATTAATTTTTTTATGATTATGAATAATAAAATTATGAGGGATAATTTAAAAAATTTATAATAAATACTTATTGAAAAACGTGATTTTATGTATATAAAAAAATAAATTAAAAGTAATAATTTTTTTATAAATAAAAACTGAGGGAATATGATTAAAAACAACCTGGCCTTCCTAAAAGGCTCTAACTTCCTCGATCAAGTTCCTAAAAAAATATTTTGGGACAGAGGAAGTAATTTGGAATGGAGAAGTATTAAGTATAGCTCAATTAATGACGTGGATTAAGGTCGAGCTTGTTGAGAATCCTCTTACGTTAGGCCGTGGAGTTTCGAGCAGACAGAGCAAGTACTGTTAAATAATGGCGCACTAGTTATTAGGATTTGTCTTTGACGCGCATCATTCAAAAAAAATTTAAATGTAGATGGCCCAAATTTTTTAAATTTAAATTATTTATTTATTAAAATAAAAATTTATAAATTTTTTAATAAACATGTTCATCATCAATTTAAATAGTACTAATTTAATTTGAATGGTCCAATTTAATTTTGTAATTTTTATAAGTTGACTCTCTATCTATACTCTGGACAATCTAAATTTAAAATTAAATTTTTATTTGTAAGTTTCAAATTTAATTTTTTTATTTTTCATTGTTATTTTATATTTATTAAAATAAAAAATTATTAAAAATTTTGATATTGAATTTGTATTGTCTAAAGTATATATAATTAGTTAATTTTTAAAAATTAAAATATTAAATTGGACCATTTAAATTAAATTAATACTGTTTAGATTGATGATTAACATATATTTGCCAAAAAAATTATAAATTTTTATTTTTATAAATATAAAATTTAAAAAATGTAGGCCAGATTTTTCTGAGTGATGATTCCCTTACCAAGCACCGAAGATGGATCCCCAATTAGTACTCGCGTGAGCCTGCCCGCTAACAACAAAGGAACAGTTTCTTGCTCATTTCTTGGATAAGCTCATGGTGGTCATTCTTAAGATCTAAATCATTTAAATTTTATTTTAGACAATTTAAATTTAAAGTATTATGTTATATTAATTTATTAAAATAAAATATTTATTAAAATTATTTTGGTCATCCTTAAGATCTAAATCATTCAAATTTTATTTTAGACAATTTAAATTTAAAGTATTATGTTATATTAATTTATTAAAATAAAATATTTATAAAAATTATAAAATAATTTTAATAATTTTTTTATTTTAATCTGATTTAAATTTAATTTAAAGTGTCTAATTTAATAGTAAAATTTTTATAATTAATATATATTTATTATTCATATATACTTATATTTGAACTATACATAGTACATTAAAAAAATCAGATATTTAATTATAAAAAATTTAATATTAAATTAAATCTAAATTGTATTATAAATAAAAAATATATTAAAATTATTTTATAAATTTTATTTTAATAAATTAATAAAAAATAATATTTTAAATATAGATTGGTCAAAGTAAAATTAAAATTTTAATTTAAAAATTAACACGTGGTGTTCATTCAAGAGACAAGGAGGAAACCGTTCCCCAAAGAACTCGTCAGTTTGCACATGGGACTGATCTGTGCATCCTTTCCATTTCCACAACATTAGTCAGACACGATGGCAAGTTCCCCATTTTTCTTTGCCTTTTTTCTTTAAAAAAAAAAAATCAACAATGAGGGCAAAAACGTCCACAGCTAAACAAAAAAATATATATATATTGCATCATGGGGACAGGGGTCTTAGAATCCTTCCTAAACAATGCGAACCAGGTCAATAAGTAGCACTGATGAGTGATGAGCTCTTGCCCTCCGTTCATACTGGGAGGGAAATAAAAAGAAGATAAAATTAGGAAAGAACTTAGGGGAAAATAAAGATGTAAAATGTCACGATAATATAAATCATTATTAATTAATTCACACTTTTAAATAAAAATTGCTTGATTTTTTAAAAATTTTCACATTTTTTCAATGGTATCTTTGAATGTAATAAATATATCATTTGACTTGTTTAAAATATTTTTATGGATTATTTACTAAAGTTGGAGTGTAATTGAAAAAAAAAAAAACATAACATATCTATTCAATGTCTTATATTTTAAATTAAGTAAAGCTTGTTGAATATGATTTACATTGTAATACAGAAACAGTAATGGAAGAATTACAAGAAGGTTCTCAATTAATTCAAATTAAATCTCAAGTATCAAATTTAAGTTAAAAATTTATAAATTTGGTTTTTAATTTTACAACTTATATTTTAAATTTTAATAAAAAAATTAAATTTATTTATTTTTTAATCATATTAAAATTTAAAACACAAATTACAAATTCACCATAACAAAATTATAAAATTAAGAACGAACTTATTAATATTTAAAATTTAATTTAAATTAATTATTTTCTTAACATCTATCTATCATTCACCCAAAATAATTTACAGGGGAGAGTCATGGTCAACGACAGTACGAACTTACTTCCAAGAACCGAGGTGGATGTATCAAACCTTTATACATCTGCTCTGTTCGTTTATTAATGGTGAGTTGAAGCATTTATGTTGCCCACCAACCCGGTGGAACGCAGTATATGAAGTGAGGGAGACCAGTGCTCGGCATCTCATCTGCTGCATCATTTAAGAGGCTCGAAACAGAGCACCATTCTTCGCATCCAACTGCCTCCGCCTGAATCCAACAGAAAACAAGAGCATGTCTTGTGACGTGGTGGACGCCGCCATGGGTCGACCGGTCGGTGGGAGCGAGTACACTTGGTGCAGAGCTGTTCCCGGCGGCACCGGCATCGCCGTCCTGGCCTTCCTCCTCTCCAAGCCCCCTCTTCTCTCTCGCCTCCAAACTGCCCTTCACAAACTCCAAAATACCCATCCCATCCTCAACTCCACCCTCCATTTCAACCCTAACGCTTCATCCTTCTCCTTCCTTACCTCTCCCGCCACTCCCTCCCTCGTCGTCCAATCTTTTGATCTTTCCGCCACTTCCACGCTCCTTGTTTCCGGCCATGACTCCGCTGTTTCTCCCTTCCACCAAATCCTCGAACACCACCTGAATCACGACTCTTGGGGCCACCTCCATCTCTCCCACACCAACGTTCCCGTCTTGTTTGCAAGCATTTACGAGCTTCCCGACGAAACCTGGGCGGTTGTTCTTCGGCTTCATGTCGCCGCCTGTGACCGGACGACGGCGGCCTCACTTCTGAGGGAGTTGCTTCCGCTGACGATGGAGGAGGATGAGGGAGGCGAAGGGAGGAAGAAGGAGTGCTCAGAGTTATCAATGGCGATAGAGGAGCTGATGCCTAGCGGGGAGGGGAAAAAAGGAGTGTGGGCACGTGGGATGGACATCCTTGCTTACTCTCTCAACTCTGTGAGGCTGACAAATCTGAAATTTGAGGACACGAAAAGCAGGAGGCGTTCGCAGGTGGTGAGATTGCAGCTGAACAAGAACGAGACGGACAGAGTTTTAGCTGTATGTACATGTGAACCCGTTGATTATAATATATAAATAAATATGGAGCGGGAGACTAACGGGACGTAGATGGTGGAAAAATAATATATGCAGGGATGCAGGAAGAGGGGGATAAAACTGTGCGGGGCTTTGACGGCAGCGGGATTGATGGCGGCACACGGCGGCAAGAAGAGTGGCAAGAAGTATGGGGTGGTCACTCTTATCGATTGCCGTTCCAATCTTCATCCTCCACTCTCTTCTCGCGATTTCGGTGCGCGCTCTTTTCTCTTTTCTCCTTCCTTTTCTTCCCTCTGCAAATGATCGTCGTCGCATGATCCCATTAATTGCAATTTTTTAATCCAGCAAGTCCCTGTTTCAATCGTAGAAATCACTGCGAATACTTCATCCAATATCTGATCTTGAAGTAGTGGCGACTGAATTGCTATTACGGGGAGCATTCTCCTCGCCAAAGCAAACCCTTTCTTGTAAATACCTCCGGCTGATGTATATTTTTGGATAAGAAGCATTTACTTAATTATTTATACTTAATATACTTTTGTCAAATGAAATCAAAACAGGTAAATTTAAAAGTGTTGTTAATATTAATAAAAAACGACTTATTATGAAATAAATAATATATAAAAAATTAACATGCTTTAATTTAATTGAAAACACTTTAAGTATATAAAGATATCTCCTATATATATATATATATATATATGTTTACGTGATAAACTGATAATTATTTGACAAGCTAGTTAAAATTGATACTTTAACAGTTATGCTTGTTGCTTTATACTCTTTCCAGTCCTATTTATAAAATATTTTTTAAAAGTAATTTGTAATTTAAAATATAGGACATCTTACAATAATTAAATCATTTTTTAATTTTATCCCTCCTTAATTAGCATGAATGTATTTAATGTTGTTGTATTATTTTTTAAAAATAAAGATAAAAATGAAAGCATATCTTCTTTTTTATGATATAAAAAAATTAATTTTTTTAATATACATGAAATAATTAAAAATATTTTATAATAAAAATTGGAAGGAGTATTTATAAAATTATTGAGTGAGAGAAAAGTCCTTGACCTTTTGTATGATATGTAAAAATAAAATTAATCATCATCACTTGTTTACAACGTATACTCTTTTAAGGAACCACCGTTTTTATTGAAATGAGTCTTTTTTTTTTTTTTAACAAGTAAATATTTCTGCACAATAATCGTAACGGACAGCAACTTTTTTTTTTTTCCATATGTAAAGGCAGTTGGCGCGCAACAAGAAATTGAAAGACGAATGATTATAGCATGTAAAAGAATACGAACACATGGCATTTACTCATTCATTTATTCATTGAGATAAACACAAAAAGTACTTATAATAACCATATGGAACATACTCCTTCCGTTCCTATACTGTATATAAAAAGTTTTTTATTTTTTTTAAATATAAAGAATTGTTAAGATATTTTTTAATGAATGGACTATTTTTATTAAATTAAAAAAAGATAAGTACTTTTATTAATTTATTTTAAAAAAATATTTATTTTTTATTTATAATAATTAGAAATAAAATTATAATATTACTGTATTTTTAAATTAAATAATTAATTTTTATTAATTTATATAATTTAATTAAAAATATTTTATATACAAAAACGAAGAGAGCATGTAGTATGGTGGAGTGAGTAGCAAAGCTATGTAGGAACAAAAAAGGAAGTGCTTGGAAGTTGGAACCGATGGCAACAGAGAATGTCATCAATGAAGAAGTACAGACAGTCATAAATGTCTTCAACGGCAACAAAGGATGGTCAGTTGGTCACTAATGACCGGACTGTACAAGTACTTGTGTTTTTTATTTTGCTGCTATACTTTCTCTAATTTTTTTATAAATTATTTTTATTAATTTTATTAATATTAATATAATAAAATATAAAAAGTAAAAGTAAGTGAAATTTTAAATATAATTTTTAAATAAAAAATAAAAAATAAATTAATTATATAATATATTTTTTTCTTTCTCTCTTTTAATTTTTAAGGGTAATTTAAGAATTTTAATTTAAAATAAAATAATCTTAAGACCAAATAATTTATAAAATAGATTAAATTATATTTTTAAAAAGTAATTTATATACCGGACTGGAGGATTATAGACTAAACCGTGCAATTATATGTCTAGGGTTTTATCACTCTGCCATTCTCAACACCCACGAAATGGAGGGAGGGGAAGACAGCCTGTGGGACGTGGCAGAACGAGCCTACGAAGCACTCTCAAACTCCAAGAAGAGCAACAAGCACTTGTCAGACATGGCGGACCTGAACTTGCTGATGCGGAAGGCCATGGACAACCCCGGCCTGACGTCGTCGTCTTCCTTGAGAACATCCATCATGTCGGTGTTTGAGGACACCGTGATCGACAACGTCGACGATGGCGGAGGCGAGATGCAGCGAGAGGTGGGGTTGGAAGACTTCGTGGGGTGTGCCTCTGTTCATGGGGTGGGCCCATCCATTGCCATGTTCGACACCATCAGGAACGGCCACTTGGACTGCGTCAGCGTGTACCCTTCGCCCTTGCACTCCAGACAACAAATGCAACAGTTTGTTGCTTCCATGAAGGCTATCCTGATCCATGGTGGACAATTATGAATGACTGTGTATGGTCTGTTCTTCTTGATTTGTGTGCTTACGTCCACGTAAGGCAATCCTTGCGTCCACGGCCACGCAGCTTGTAGTGGTAGGTGATCATCGCGCTTGGATCTCTGCCTGATCATGTCTCTCGAAAGTACATACTATTTGTTTGCACTATATTAATTAGACGAGCATTGTATTTTACGAATTCATAGCTTCCCTTTTTAATTTAGATATGTCATAATAGCTTATTATCTAAGATGTACGCTTACCCTGGTAACCAATAGAGTTAAATCAAGGAATATATGTATTACATATAGTCGACAAGGGTCCCGAAAACTAATTAAGGCCCTGTTGGTTTTTGTTCGCTTTGCAATATAGCTTTTAAAATAAAAAAAAATTGGTTACATTCACTTGAAAACAGTCTTAAAATTAAAAAATTGATCAATGATAATAGATAAGGGTGTGCATGGCATGAGTAGGGTTGGGTAGAGTAATCCCTTAACCAGATGGCCTACCCTAATTGTCTTTGGGCAAAAAAAACATGCTTGAAGCCCAATCCTGCTTGAAGCCCAACCCTACTTGAAATATGCCCAACTTTGGAGGGGCTGGTCAGGCAAGGATTGAGCACCTTAAGCAGGGTTTTCTATCTTGCCCAGTGTCTCTTGTGTCCTAACTAAGGGAAAACAGACATATTTTTAAAAGGCCAACGATTAGCAAGTCAACATTAATCATTGTAGACTCAAAAAAAAAAAAAGTAATCAAGCTGCTTAGTCCATAACATCAAATTCATAACAAAACCAATAATTATGATCATTCTCTCGCATTAATTAAAACTACATTTACACTCTAAAAAGTTACACATAGCTTTTCATCAAACCTTGAGTGAATAACTGAACATCATAAGTAACTTATGAGATAAGCCATACCCTTTGCTCAAGAGTTGCAATATTGTGATGATATTCCTCACGTAAAGACTCAACTTCTGCCTCATTAGATTTTTTCGATTCTACTTCGATCTTGGGACAGGGAGTAGTCATAAGTGTGAATGGAATAGGGGTAGCATCAAGACTCGTAGGAGGTTTTTCACCATGACTGTCATATGCTACATGCGGAGAAGGACTAGAAGCCGAATTTTGTTCTTCCATTTTCTAGCCTAAGAGATAGTTTCATTAACTAAGAAATAGAAGCAATACAAGTATGAACTCAAAATAAAAGGCAATAACTGTAACATCTTGAGCTTTATATGATAAATAAATTATGAAATTTGAGTTTTTGTTGTGAATTTAAAATTAAAAATTCATATTGTTTTGAGATTTAAAATAAATAAATTTGTATTCAAGGTTATTTGAAGTTAATCACATATCTAGACATTTAAATGTGAATTAAATTTTAGGCTAAAAATCATATGAAAAATATTTATTAACTTAAGTATAATTAAATATATATTTATATAAAGGGGGGAAAGTCCAAACCACCAAAAAGTGGTTGGGACTTTTACTTCCCTTTGTTTGAAAATTTTTGTTAATAATATAATAATAAATATTAAGTAATAAATAATTTCAGGACTCACATTCTATTATAAATACTTCATTCCTTTCTCATTTTTTGCGCACGGCTTTCTTCCTCTTTTTCTTCTTTCCATTTCAACTTTTGCGTAGTATTGTTCATTTTATTTAAGTAAGGTTCTAAATTTCTAGATCATTTATGTATACAAAATGACTTTTATTTTTTCAAGGTCTTTCCATAGATATTTTTCACCCATTAGAAGTATCTAATAGTTGTATTATTTTGATGTATAGAGAAAAATTTTTGATTAAAATTTTTCTATAAGATAGTTAATATGAGGTTATGATATTTTAAAAATAAATGTTGAGGTTGCTGGATGTATAATAAATACTATAGAGTATTTCTTTGAGGTTGAAACTTAGATTTGAGAATTTTTAATTAATTTCTAGACCTATATAATTGAGTTTATGTTATATTTGAGATGTTGGGATAGGTTTTTAATCATTAGATATTTATTTGAGTATAAATAAATATTTCTGAGGCTATGAAATGATGATTTGAGGCTTGAGAAAAATTTTTAAATTTTAAACCTATTTTTAAACTAATTTTGGAAAATAAATTGATGAAATTTTAATATTGTGATTGATTTAAGACCTAGGTATAGTCTTTTGAGGTATGAGAAATTCAAAAAGGAATTTAGAAAATTAAATGAGGCACTAATTTTAAATTAATATCAAAATTAGGCCTAAACTTCCTAACTATTTAAGTTAGAATTATTTATTTATTTCAATAAAAAATAATATTTAACATTGTGAAATTAATATTATACATATATTATTAAATGACTATGTAGATTATATTGTCAAAGGAAGTGGTGAAAGAGTTGTGGTACAAGGGAATGTGTTATTGAAGACATGAGATAATCATTGTTAATGTGTGGTAGTGTGTGTGATTGATTGTGTGTTTGCTTTTTTATTTAAAAAATATTCATTTTTGTTGAGAAATAACATATTTATATTTTTATTTAAAAATAATTGCCAAGTGGGTTAAATTTATATTATGAATATTTGGTGAATATTGGCACTACTGAAAAGATGAGATAAATTGTCTGGTTGATATAAAAATATGCCAAATAATTTTTGTTTGGTTGCTATAAATGCATGACTAGTAGGAGTATATTAAAAATTATTTAGTAAACATTTTTGTTTGGTTAAATTACTACATGGTAGGCTCTCATTGGAACTAATATGTGGCTTGTAGCTTGGTCTAACTCACCTTTGACTGGGTAACTTGGTGTTTGAACATGACATAAGGAGAGATATAAGATATAATTATACTAATTAAATAATTGTTTGGTTTGTTGTTTTGTTTGCCCACTTAACAATCATATGATTAACTATCTCATGCATATTATTATATATTGATATTTGGTTATTGGGACTTTAGGTTTTATCTCCTGTGGTTATTAATTTTTTGAGGATAAGTTTGGTTAGAGAAGTACCTGAGGCATAATTCAGTGTATGAGACACTGTTTTTTAATTCAGCCTTTTTATTTTCATTAATGATGTATATTATACCAACCTAAAATAGATATATTGTGTGTGTATATATATATTAAGCATGTAGACTTTATTTATTATTATACTTTATATGCCAAGAGAATTCTGTTTGTCTCTTATGGCCTTGGGTATTTGTGAAGTAAAATTTCGATCAAGTATGTCCTATATGATAGTTTTTTATGGTAACCAGTGTTTGGAAAAGTATAATTTGGGGTCCAAGTTGAGTGGTTTGAAAATGTTGCTTATTTGAACATCGCTTTGAAATTATAACAGGGGTGTACACTTGAAGCATTTAATGATTACTTTTCTTTATTATTATCATAAAGTAAATTTATTATGTTTAAATTTTTCTACCACGATGGATCTTTTTTTATCATTGTAGACTATTTGTGAAATGTTTTTATAATTCTTTTTTGTCCATAGTAAAACTTTAAAATTTATAAAATAGTTTATCAAACTATTAATTTAAGAAAAATAAGCGTTGAAATAACCCAGCCAATAGCCATGGATAAACATTAGTAAACTGGCAGCAGAGTGCAAACCACTTTGATATTAAACAAACTAGCAGCAAAATGCAAATCATTTCAAATTTAAACAAAACAAAATAAAAAGCATGGTTTGAAATGTTGCTTATTTGACCATCACTTTGAAATTATAATAGGAGTGTACACTTGAAGCATTTAATGATTGCTTTTCTTAATTATTATCGTAAAGTAAATTTATTATGTTTGAATTTTTCTACCACGATAGACCTTTTTTATCATGATATATTATTTGTGAAATGTTTTTATAATTTTTTTTCTACCATGATAAAAGTTTAAAATTTATAAAATAATTTATCAAACTATTAATTTAAGAAAAATAAGTGTTAAAACAACCCAACCAACAGCCATGAATAAACATTAGCAAACCAGCAGCAAAGTGCAAACCACTTCGACGTTAAACAAACTAGTAGCAAAATGCAAATCATTTCAAATTTAAACAAAACAAAATAAAAACATAGATCTAACAAATGAAAGAAACAAGCCAGCAACAACATTGCTTAAGCTTCAAATGGAGAGAGTGAAAGAGAAGAAGAGATATGGAGATAGGAGACTACTTACCTAAGCTTCGAAGAGATGAGTTGACGAACTTGAGTGAGACAGACGAAGTTCTGAACTCTGGAGTTGCTAAAACGAGACGAAGAAAGCTTGAAAAGATCAACCCTCCTTGAAGACTAGAAGAAAGCTCAAGGGACAAAGAGTGGTAGTCAAAGATGCGATCAAGAAAGAGAGACATAAAGCAGCAGAGGAGAGGTGTGCGCGGTGCGCCCATGCGAAGTCATGCTCTTTCGAATCGAAAATGTGAGACTATGAGCATGTATATTAGATGCGAGTTTGAGCTTTTAGGATTTTAATATTTTAATTTTTTTCATTTATACCCCTACCAATCTAACACACTTCATCCTATATTAATATTTTTATTTAAAAAAATTATACCTCAAGTCAAGTATGGTTAATTGGTTAGATAATCTAGCCCTAAATCTTGCACAACCTAAAGATCAGATGCAGTGCCTAAATAATGTCAAGCGAGTGTTTTAAGGTCCAAGTTAAGCATATTTTGCTCGAATTGGGTCAAACAACATGGGCTTGTGGGCATCCTGTACAAGCCTATTAATAGGCACTGGCAATTAATAATAGTTTCTTGTGATAATTCTTAATCAAGATAACTATAGTTTTCAATAATCAAATGCAATGAATTTTGAAAAATAAAATAAAATGGAACAACTTTAGGATATTTTTATTTTTTGTTTTAAAAATGAAAATAGAACATTTTCAAAATAATTAGATTTAAAACACACCTCCAAACAAGTTCTTTAATTTTTTTTGTCTTTAAAAACAATTTTTTTACAAATAGTAACGAAAATGCCCTAATTATCACATGCACGCAACTTTTAAGAAGTATGAGTATTTTAGAAACAACAAATGGATTTATCCACCAACGAAGGAATATTCTAAATCTAAAATGAATATATTAAATTTAGTAAAATAGTTAATATTATCCCATGTCACGCTAACACACACAATCTCATATTGCTTAAAAAAAACCTGTTTTCTCTTAGTCATATTTTCACTCCTATCAATCATTCAAATTCAAGTATAAAGAGGGAATAATATATGTGATGCTACTGATGATAAAATAGCAATAATTGTCGCCAAAAAATAATTATTTAAAATCAACTGTGTTAAGATTAAAAAACTGAAAAAATATTTTTAAAGTTAAAGAGTTAAATTAAAGTTTTATATATAATTAGAGAATCAAATATATATTTTTAACATGGAAAATAAACTAACAGTGTCACCGATGAAGACACCAATAATGTCCCTACAAGGGCCCGCAAGTCTTTCTTGCACGCGCGAGAGGAGAAATAATATTATTGTTAATATTAACTATTAATTAATACGCTGTTGAATCAACTTAGATTAAGATATTAAGTTTGAGTTTTAAAATATATAGTGACTTTAAATAAAAATATTAAAGATATTCCTGAAGTAACCATGAGAGAGAGTGTGTTTGGATTAGTTTAAGAAAATGGTGATAATATTTTCAAGTTTTTTAAAATACTGGATAATCGAATTAAAAAAAAATCATATCGCATACCAAATATCAAATAATTTAATTAAACTCAGTGGTTCAGATGATTCTGAAGATGCCATGTTTAGTACGTATTTGGATTAGTGTTTGCAAAACTTAAAAGTTTCCATGAACCATTATTTGCAAACTAAAGTGTGAGCAAATGTCACATATAATAATATGACTTAATATTTACACTAAGAGACTAAGAGAGACTCATGGAGTCATGGTTGACGTCGTGTGGCAGGAAAACAAGAGACTAATATTTGACTTAAAACAAGCGCAAGTGCGAAATCAAACAAGTGTTAATAATTTCAAAAGTGAAATTAGGTCCTGGTGCCTGCCGATCTGCAGAGAGCTGTCCTATTTTTGCTGCTTTCTTACTTGTCGTTATTACCTATCGGCTGACTGGATTGGATCATCTCATCAAAGGTGTTCTTCAATGTACCCCTTCTTGTGTGGGCTAGCCAGCAACATAAGCAAGGCTGTGGAGAGCGAGACCCTTCACCCACCCATGTCCGATTCCATTACCCGACCCGTCGGCAACACCGAGTTAACCTGGTGCAAAGCCGTTCCTGGTGGCACCGGAGTCACCGTCCTGGGTCTCCTCTTCTCCAAACCCCCAAATATCCCATTTCTTCAAACTGCACTTCGGAACCTCCAAAATTCCCACCCTATCCTCCGATCCAGGATCCACCAAGATCCCTCCGATAATACCTATCATTTCCTAATCCCCACAAATCCTCACATCGAAATCACATCATTTGATCTCCAATCCACGTCCCGCATAATCGCAAACGATTCTGACGACCACAATATCAACAGTGCCCTACACTTAATCGTCGAGCACGAGCTCAGTCAGAACCCTTGGCATGACCCTAGTGACTCATTGACGCCGGCAGACACCGACGTCTTCTTTGCGAGTACCTACACGATAAATGACCGCTACTGGGCCGTTTTCCTCCGGTTACACACGGCGGCATGCGACCGTACGGCAGCGATGGCTGTGCTCAGGGAACTGCTGGCGCTATTGGAAGGGAAACGGACGGCAGCGGTGTTGGGGAATGAAGATCATATCGGGATGCCGATTGAGGATCTTGTCCCTAAAGGGAAGGCCAACAAACCCTTTTGGGCGCGTGGAGTGGACGTGCTTGGTTACTCCTTGAACGCGCTGAGGGTCGCGAATTTGAGTTTCGTCGAAGCAAATCCACCTAAATGCACCAAGTTCGTGAAGTTTCAGCTGAACAAGGACGAAACAGGGAGGCTAATTGCCGTGAGTCACTTCCTTTTCTAACGCATTGATACTATTTTGATTCTCTAAAATCTTGTTTGTTTGTTTTTAAATCTGATAAATCTATAGCTATAGCGGTTTGAACTATAAAACGGCAGTAAGTTCATATTTAAAAAATCACTTTCGTCCTTTTATAAAAACAACAATAACTTGTGTAATTATAATTATTTAGTTTTTTTGTCCCCACCAGAATACGGAGATTTCTATGAGAAAAAGATTTACCAGAATACGGAGATAAGATTTATTTTCCTTGGAATGCTAAACAGACTTCATCTTCATGGATAAACTGGGATTAATCATGGACTACATTTTCCCATGGGTTTGGAGATGGGCATGGGCCCTAAGGTCAAATGGCTAGGCCAGGCCCAGCAAAGGAAATATATGTCATCACACCTTTAAATGCCCTTGTGTTAGGGGCTAGGCTTTGACAATACATCAAACCAAAATTTGAATCCTGCGTTCAGTTAGGAGAGGTGCCTAGCAAAGCCGTCAATTAGGGTTGTATTTGTTGGGTCAGCTTTTTTAAACTTAAAAAAATTTAAGGTCGAGCCACTTTTTTGAAGTATAAAATGATAAATCGAGTTTAAAAGGATTTTAAAATAAAAGAGCCGGCCCCATTAAGTCCTATTATATATTTCTTTTAAATTTAATATAAAAAATAAACACTTGCAAAACTAAATATTATGTGTAATAACTGATGAAGCTTCACAAGAAAAAGTTTTAAATTATATTGATATTGATAATAATAAAATAATCAAGAGTTAGCTGATGATACTAGTAAAATTTAATTATCATCGGTGTTGATTTTGTGATGTGTTTACTTTTAAAGGTTTAAATTTATTATACTAGACTTAATGTTATGTGTAATAACTTTGTTAAAATTTTAAATTGAAAAATGGAGGAAAAAATATATAGGATCGAGGCTTTGAAGGCCAACCCTTTAACCCTGAGGGTTAAGGCTAGGCTGACCAAAATAAAACCTTAAAGTAAAATGAGCTTAAAAGGACTAACCTATTTAGATTCTGGCCCTTCAAGGGTCAACCCTAATTAATAGCTCTAGTGCTTAGTGGCTAATGGTGCTCCAACATGATTGTTTCCATAAGAAGGATAGCTGCGGTTAAAAAAAAAAAAAATGCTGTTATGTTGCGATTGTGAGTTCCTTTCAATCCTGTGTACCAAATGATTAACAAAAAGGAAGTGATAGTGAGATCCTGTGATGTGTGATCCCTTACTTGTGATGGAAAGTTTGATCCGCTATATAAAATGAAAACTCCACTCCGTTTGGCTCAAGATCAAGACATTATTGTGGACCTGTGGTGCTGTGCCAGAGTAGCAGAATAGAGCGCAGAATCAGAGATGCGGAAACGAAGAAAGAGAATTAGTTTAAAAGTGTACCAAAAACAGAAACACATGTCTTGTGTGGTGGTAAAGATACAAAAGTTTAAGCTTTAGTTTAATCTAAACTTCAATTGATTTTTTAGATTTGCTGGTCATAGCCTCTAGCCCTCTACCAGGAACTATACCACGGGTCTGGGTTTATGCACGATTCTCTCCCTAGGAAAATGCTGTCATACTCATAGCAGTGTATCATATGACTTCATGTGTGTGTGTGTGTGTTCCTGGTTTCCTGTGCATCTTTAAATGTCAGAGTCTACCTACACCCTTTAAGTGAGCATGAGACATATAAGAGGTTAACCAATTGTTTAAGGATGTATGTAGCAGTCGAATCTTGAATTTTTACGAGTTTAAACAATTGTGAAGGGATGCAAATCAAGAGGAATAAAGCTTTGTGGGGCAATTGCAGCTGCTGGAATGAGCGCCGTTTGGATCTCCAAACACCTTCCTGATGACCAAAGAGAGAAGTATGCTGTCGTAACTCTCATTGATTGTCGTTCCGACCTTGACCCTGTTCTCACCAGCAACCACCTTGGTAAGCCACAATTCCTAGCGACCTTTTTGTCGTTTTTGGTCTGCTCCTACTTGCGCCATACGCTACTAGACTGCTTGTCTGCTTCCAAAAAAGAAAACAACAAAACTCTTTTTCTTCAATTTTTCCAACTTTTATACTCTGTATAATGATATTTTTTTTTGGGGGCCAAACTGTTTAATGAATTTGAAAGATGTGATTCTTCATTTATTTATTTATAAGTACTTCAGGTGCACATCAGTCTCTTACTTGTTTACTAATTTTTAACGTCAGACCTGATGAAAACAGAGCTATTTAAGCCCAAGTCCACCCTATAATTGGACCACAACACAGTCACACCAAAACCTTATTGGTAAGTCCTCCCTTAAGATTTAGCTCCATTCGAGCCTCCGCGTGGACAGGATTTTTTTCCCCTAAATATTAATTTTTTTTTATAAATTGGCCTACTGGTAAAAAAAAAAATCTTGTGACCAAAAAATACATTTTGGAGTATGGCCGATTCATATTAATATGTAAAGGATTTATGATTGATATACAAAGATTTATCATTAAAAATTTAAAAATTTATATAGAGTTTATCATTGATATACAACAATATATGATTGATAGATATAATAAATAGGTCATAATACAAAATATACTCAATATTGGGCTTTTTGTTTGGTTTGTTTTTATAATATGAGTTATATCTGCAAAAGTCGTATTATTTTAGGGATATTCTTCTTTGAATTTCCCTCAAAATTAGTCTAGACTTTCACCTCTCATGCGACCATGACATTGCTCAAAATTTTTTTTAGCTTCTAAACGGTTGGACTTGAATGTTTTAGAGTCTTTCATATAAGAACGTTTTTATTTTTCCTTTAAAAAAGTAGTTGGGTTGTTCCCTTGTTTGGCTCAGGATTTTATCATTCTGGAATCTTAAACACACACGATGTGTGTGGAGAACGGCTATGGGAATTGGCGAAGAGAAGCTACACAGCCTTTGAGAACGCCAAGAACAAAAAGAAGCATTTTACGGACATGTCTGACCTGAATTTCCTCATGAACAAGGCCATCGAAAACCCTGGTTTGACACCATCATCTTCTCTAAGAACGGCATTGATGTCAGTGTTTGAAGAACCTGTCATCGATGATTCAAATGAATTAATGCATCAACCCCTTGGATTGGAAGATTATGTATGTTGCCCTTCTGTGCATGGAGTGAGTCCATCCATTGCCATATTCGACACTATACGAGATGGAAGCTTGAACTGTGTGTGTGTATATCCATCGCCCCTGCATTCCAGGGAGCAGATGCAAGACTTGGTCGATCATATGAAGAGACTTCTCGTGGATGGTTGTAACGATGAAGATCAGTGAGATGGAGCTATTGTACGCTTTCTGTGTTAGTGATGGTTATATTATTGAATATTGATCCATTCATGGGTCATCTCTTTCTGGCTGTTTGTAATTCAGTGTATCGATTAGGCTCACCACCGTCTGTTCAGAGTGTGCACTGGTCACAGAAAATAAAAATGCAATCTATTTATTGCATGGACTATGGGAAACAATTGTAACTGTGAGTAAGGACAATGGAAATCTTGGCCTTCAGAAAATCTGGTTTCGTTCAGAACGTTTGTGATTTGCATTTTATAAAATTAAATTAAATTAAATTCAACTAAACTAGGATATTTTGGAATAAAACGTAGATAATTGGAAAAACCTCAAGTCACTTGGCCTGTGGTGGCAAGAATACCAAAGTGCTAATAAATGGTTTGAATCTTATGGTTAACCTTTTAAAATCAATTATACAAATTGAATCAAATAACAATGCATTAAACTGTATTTTACCTTTATTTTATTTAGAACTTGCTTACATAATTACTCAATCAACATCCTTTCAGTGGAGACTTTGGAATTGAAAATTTACCTGCGCTTTAACTAAGTTCAACAAAAATCTGGGGAAAGTGGAACCCAACATATTTTCTTTTCACTCAGGATGAGAATTGAAAACAATGTGGCATGCACTTTGAAGCATCAAGAAATGAAACTATGCCTATTGGTCACCCCTTTCCCTCTTTCTTCTTTCTTCTTTTTTGAATTTCACTATCTGCTTCAAGGATTGCTTAAATGTAAAAGTGGAAAATTAATTCAGATGGTCCTTCTCAGAAATCTAATCATATACTGTTCATGACCAAATTAAAGCCCCCGTTAACCCAGGCAGTTGACTAGCTAGTTCCGTCCCACCTGCGCAATTGTTGCCACTGATCACTGAGTCTGCTTCGCGGATGACAGTTGTAACTATTAAACAAATTCCAAAAACAAAAGGTAAAAATCAAGGCGCAAAAGGACAAATCAAAATTTGAAGCGCTCTAATTGCATAAACTAATTTACATGTAAGGTGAATTCTGTTCGTAAAACTCCCTGAACTAACAATGGCTTTTCCATTGCAATTTGAAGTTCAAGCTGGATCGGCGATCTAGGATATACATGCCCCTACTCGTGTCTATCTTCTGCTTTTACCTAATATTGCATCCTTCAAATACAACCCCCCACAAGAAGAGGCTACACATCGATGGGATGCATTTGAACACTAACCCCAATAAAAACAAAGAAAAACAGGATGCTTTTGTGGTTTAATGCAGCTCAAATAAGATCCTCAAAAATCTTGGCCAAGTCAAACGTGCCATTGCTGCATTGTATAGCAGCTAATACCTCCTGAAACGTGGCCACGCTGCAGGGAAGCACGAGGCCATTCCTCTGCTGAAACCCAAACTCATGGTAAGCCTTGTCCAACAAGATCTTGATCAAAGGATGAGACAGATATGCGGTGGGAACCACATATCTCTGACGTTCCTCCCCCACGTAGAGCGGAAAATAACCAATCGGTATGGCGTTGGAAGATTCTTGCGCATATTCCTTGAGCAAACACTCGTGGTGGGCAGGATCAGGATCATGGTCTGCTCCAATTCCAACTCCCTTCACCTTCCTCGCCAGCTTCTTGATCGATACCATCCTCTTCCCCAGCATTTTCGTTTCACAACAGGGAAGAGACGGAGACACAGAAAGAGAGGGAGGGAGGGAGGGAGGGAGATGGTCAGATGGAGGAGAAAGTTTGGGAGGAAGATGGATGGGTTTTGCCAGATGAATGAATGGAAATTTGAGAGGAGGGATTCTTGGTGGAATGTCTGGGACATAGTCGTCGCTTGACTTTTTAATAATTTGGAACCTATGACGGTTGAATTTTGTTTCGGGTTTTTTTATCGCAGCTTCAAATTAGTGGTGGCTCTTGGCCACCCCTGACCTTTGAATAGTTAAAGAGATAAAACAAAGGCAGCCCCATTTTAGTGAAGATTAAGAAAGTAGGCATATGTAATGCGTGGCACGCCATTACTTTGTTTTTAAATAGCCAACATATACACTTATAACGTACGGTTGGGGAGGTCTGTACGCCCGCATTGGTTCTAAATTATTCCATGTCCAAATAATGAGGGTGCATCAAGTGGCGCAAAAACTATAAGTTTGGCCACACGCTTAAGTTTTGATATGTTTGTTGACACCTACTTTCTAATTCAACGATAAATACATCTTGTCCATAAAAAAATGAAGGCTCTCCACTTTATGTATTTTTTTTTTAACTAATTATAGAGTGGTCCATTTTCATGCTTCATCCCACCATTGTTGTTTGAAACTGCGAGACGGCTTATAATTTTATGGGTTTATAATTTTTTTTTTACTATGACTTATAATTTTTTTAACTAATTATGAAGTGGTCCATTGTTCACGCTTCATCCCATCATTGTTTGAAACTATGAGACGGCTTATAATTTTATGGGTTTAGTTCTGATGATTCCCTCACCAATCACCACTTTTACCCCTCTATCTCTCCTCACTTGGCTCAGTGCTTCAAAACAGTGACATCTGAACTCATGAGACAACTAATCACGAGTGCTTTTATTACAAAAGCCATTTAATATTAATTATTTTATTAATTAAGAGTTAATCTGAAGCTATTTTATAGAAGGAATATCCCGGGAATCCACAAGATCAAGTACTGGGTATTTGATAAAGTAAACACCAACAAGCTACGACAACCAACCTTAACACCATGTCACTTAAGTCTTTCAAACTCATGAACGTGGAACGTGGAGGGAGGGATAAGACGAGAAAATAAGTAGCCTCCCTCAATCAATCATGCACTTATTCACTTTTAGAACACGGCAAACAAAAAGGGTTGACTTGGAATATGAACAAAACCGTCCACCCTAGAACCCGAGTTTGAAGGCTGAAGAGGGTTAGGCTTGTCACGAGTCTCACGTTAAGAGGTCACATTAACAGAATATAATTTATAAATCAGTTGGACACCTTTCCTTTATGAGGTGTATTTTGAAGGTGAGTTCTACCCAAATAGTTTGTGGTTGTGATATTGGTACTCTTTTTGAGAGTCGCTGTTTGCAAAAAGGGCTGTCCATGGAGGGGTTGACTGACCGAAGGCTGAGTGAATGTTGTGAAGTGTGAGCCGTTGCGGACGTCAGCTCTTAAGAAATGGATTATGTCACGAGTTTCATATCAAGAGGCCACATTAATAAAATATAATTTATAAGTCAGTTAAACATTCTTCCTTTATGAGATGTTTGTTGGGGATGAGTTATATTTAAATAGCTTGTGATTGTGACAGGACCCTTGAAAACTCTTCTGACATTGACAGAGCCTGGCTCATCAACGTGCTGACTCGTTCCTCCTATTGAAACCATTTCACACTACTTGACCGTTGACCCTAAATAAATATATGTTATCTGGCCAACATTCCCTCTCGTCGCATATTATTTGTATGTTCAGAGTAGATTGACACAAGCTTGTTGTACTCCTCAAACTCAATCCGTGCCTCTCATCTGGCCAAGTGGAACGCCGAGAATTATTAGGACAGTTTTAATGTGTGGGTACAATTGGAAAACAAGCGTCGCGAAGTAGGACAGCTCTACGACTACGAGCATGGGAGGATCCTGGTGTATGGTGGGGAGGGCCGCGACCTACTCAACCCGTGGATTCTTTTAACATATATTTTCATATATGAAAAGCTTTTTTTTTTTCAAAAAAATAAACATGAGAAGATTTAATGAATCATACCATCATATTTTTTTTAGCAACCCTTTTTTACATTTTTCACATATAATTTAATACTAGACTATTAACATATTATTTGATATTTTATTTATTCACTATTAACATATTAAAAAAATAATAGATATTATTAGTTTATTGAAAAATTATACTCCCTTCATTTAAAAATATCTTATATTTTTAATTGAATTTTTCACCCCCCTGATAAATTAATTATTTGTGTTCAAACTAACATCATATTTTTATACTTACCTTTATGTAATATGATATTTTCATTAAAAATAAATATAGAATAATTTTAAAAAAATATAACTTTCGATTCTTGCACTTTATTTATATTTTGCTATTAGTTCTTATACTTTTTTTTTGATATTCTAAATCCTTACAGTTTCATTTTTTAATATTTTAAGTCGCTTTAAAGTCTCTACACTTTATTTAAAAGGAAGTACGATTCTTTGAAAAATATGGTGCACTGTTTGGCTGAGAGACCTTCAGATGGAAAAAACAACTCGGAGCTTCGGAGGAAGACATCATTCATGACTTGTGTTTTAGTTAATTTCTTCTCCGAGATCGGCATACCTCATTTTCACTTTATACATGGTGGAACTGAAACTCATTCAATACTCTCATCAACGAGCATCTTGCCTTGAACGCGTACTGCATCGGAAATATACTGCAATTTGCTTCGATATGTCTTGGTTTAACTTAAATTTTGCAATACGCAGAGCCAGAGGGGAAAATGGCTGGGATTTGGAGTAGATTGTGTATATGTATTGAATAGTGAATTAAATAATTCTGAATGCCTCACATCAAACTGGGTGTTTGGTCTAGTGGTATGATTCTCGCTTCGGGTGCGAGAGGTCGCGAGTTCGATTCTCGCAACACCCCTTTTAGCTACCTGTTACATCATGCTTTTTCCCTCTCTCATCCGACTACCTCCCAAAAAACTCGAACTTGTTTCACTTCATTTCTGAGGCTGCTATCCCTCCCAACCTTTTTCCGGAAATACTACGAAAAATGGACATGATGATTGTTAACTTAACAATATTGTGATAAAACACAGCGGTTTGATTCCTTGAAGCGAGATTTTTGCCCACTAAAGAGCAAATGCAAAATTAGAATCTTGCTCTGGTTCCAAAAGATAGAGGACCTTCAGAGCACATTGGTTGCGTTACATTGGGCATTATATACGTTGAAAATAATTGCCGTGCATGTATAGAGAGAGAGAGAGGGTGGGATTTTTTTGGTGTCTTCTATTTCTCCTGCACTTCCAACTAGATGACCGGGTGAGATTTTGCCGTGCAAGCAGACAGAAAGACTGTGATTTTTTTGTTAGATAAAAAAAAACCCTTTGATTTCTCTTCTTTCAACATAACTTTCTTTTCCTAATCTTTTCTTTCTTTGCTCTTTTTTTTTTCCCCTTTTTTACAAGCATCACACAACAATACGCAATGATATTTGAAAATCCTATGTCTATGATATGAGCATTATATAAAAGCGTAAAATGACAAATTTATCATTAAACTATAGATTTAATAGTATTTAAAATTCTATACTTAATTTTAATGCAATTTTTCTATCTAATTTTTCAAAGTGATGCAATAATATCTTGCTGTTAATAAATAATAACTTTAATTATTAGTTAATTAAAAATTATAAAAAAAGTATTAAAAAGTTTTCATGTCTTTTTATGTTTCTCTTTGGATCGTTGTATGTAAATTTTAGATCATTTTCCTACAATTTTCACAGTTCTTTTTTTATAAATTTTTTTATTTAATTAATAATTAAAATTAATTTTTACTAACAGTAAGGATGACATTGTGCATTTTTCAAAAGTTGAGTAGCAAAATTGTTTTAAAAATAAATTTATAATTCTAAATACTCGTAACTTATTATTTAAGGATGAAATTATCCACCCCATATAAATAAGTTTTAGTTAAAAATAAAATAATCTAAACATATTTTTACCAGGATTCATACTCATGAAAGTGTAAGAAAAATCAATATTAATAATGTATTGTAATGAGTGGCCAAAATAAGAATACAACATTTATTATATAATTGAAGTATTCATAAAAAAGTTAAAGATAATTTTATCTTTAACTTTACTTGAAATATTATTACGTATCTTAAATTTAATTATAGATTAATTTTATCTCTAAAAATTAAATATTCTCTTTCTTATCACCTTATTATTAACTCATTATCTGTTCACTGTTAATTAAGTCTCATATTTAATTTTTAAGTATTTTTTATAAAATATTTGAATTTAAAGTGTTCGGTGAATTACTAATTATTTAGAGTAAAATTGAGAGGTGTAAATAACTAATAATCTAATGATTTATAATAAAAAATATTAAAAAAATAAATGTGGGTTCATTGACATCAAATAATAAAAGAGAGAATTTCTAATATTAAAGGACTAAATTAAATAATTAATAATTTTTAAATAAAGTTTGGAGATAAAAAATAATTTTTAATTTTTTTATTTAAAAGATTTTTTAAAAAAAAAGCTTTCTAAGATTGAATTATTAGTTTTCTTGCAGAAAAACATGCAATTCGAAGCCCGGACGACGGTGAAAACTGAAATCATCACACTACGTTACGCACAAAACGTAAACCAAGTCACTTCTACAGTACACGTCCTTTCCCTCTCTCTCTCTCTCTCTTCATCATCCCGGTTCCCAACTTACAATTCCCCACGGACGCCCTCTTTCTCAATGGCCCCGTGGAAATCCGGGCCCTCTTCCTTTTCATCTTTCCCAATGTATCTCTAACCTTAAGGGAATATCAAACATGTGAAGGCGCGGTGACGATAGCCAGGCCTAACCTTCCAGAACCCTTTCTTGATCCAAACTCCAAAATGTTCATATCGAAACCTTTGCTTTCCGTGAAGATATAGATTCAATAATAGTGGGGCAAGATCGAAGTCTACGTCTTCCTGCAAAATAATTGCTCAAATATGACCCAAGTACTCCAATCCCCACCTCACTTCCCTTCAGTCTCAAGCTCTTCCAGTCCGTGTGGGCGACTCAACCCCAATGATGGTTCGCAACCAAATGCCCTTGTTAACAGTTCCGTGGTTGAGGAAGACGTGGAGGACCCTTTGGGTGCGG